CCGGTGTACGTGAGCGCGCTTAAGTTCAAAAGGTTTCTTCATGTAACAATCTGCTAGAAGGTGTGGGGAGCCATAGCCCTCCCCCCCAGAGCATGAAGTGGCCGCGGAGGAGACCCGGGCCCGGACATCCATAGGCTCCCCAGAGTGCAAAAAACCTGGTCCTCCTTGGGTTTGTTTCACAATTGTTCTGAGCCAATGACCGTGTTTGGGTTTGGTTAATTGTATTTGATTGCTCTTACACTCTAGTCCACTGATATGCCCCACTGCAAACACTGCTGTCACAGTTTCTCTGCGCATGTTATAAGATTTAAGATGGTTTATATTAAGAAATATTTTAAAGTAGATGGGCTTTTTGTTCTCCTGTGATTTTTACAATGAAGACCACATTGTGGTCCCTAACGCCCATGAATAATGGGAGTCAACTGTTTGTGCTACAGGATGAAGGAAGAGTTGGCTTGCTGAGACTGGGGAGGATTGCCAGCCTACCCCGTACAGTGTGGTGGGACTAGAGAGTGTAGCTGACCTCTGGCACAGCTGGCCCTGGCCTTTGACTGTGTGTTTTGTCCTTTATGCAAGTGGTGCACTGGTCTGTTTTGGCTCTTAACTTTTATGCTAATACTGTAGCCGGGGCTGTTTCCATTTGATTTTGTGTGATAAATTATATTTTAAATTTTCTGATTCAGATGGATCAGACTGTTGCTCAGATATAGAACATGTCTGACCAGGTATCTGGTACGTGTTGCATACTTAAGTGCCTGGACTTTGTTACCTCGGCTGTTGAGTTGACTGATATGCAGTCCACGCCCCACGTGGAATTTTGGTTTTGTGCCACACGTTTTACAGTGTGACATGTTTTTCATTTACAGACGGATGACAAATTAAAGAAAAAGCAAGCACCAAGCAAGAACCTTATATTCCTACTGTGAGGGGAGCCTGAACTACACAACCTAAAAATTTGTGTAAATAAAACCAGATTTTTATAGATCAAACTTGAGCATACTTTCACACACTTTAGGGTACTTACTACCAACTGAAAACATCGTATTCTTTGGTGAGTTACAGCAAATAAATAAGCAAAAGTAAAACTATGTATTACGATTAATTATTATTGTCTGAAGCCAATAAATATTTGATGTTTGAGGTCTACAGGGGAAAAACACATACTGGCTCAAGATGTATTTTTCTACATCAAGAAAAATACATTGCATCTATTGCATCTATTTTTACCATAATAACGCATGCTTTTCTTACATATCTAAACCGTGTCTGTCATTAGTAAACATCTCCTTAATAAACAAGACTTTGGAGACTATCACTGTATGTCACCCACTGTGATCAGAGAGAAGAAAACAGCGCCAACTAACATTAATAGTTAATGATGAAAAACACATGCAGGCTACATTGTTCATCTAAGGACATTGCGTGCTGCTTAGTCAATTTATTTACTTTCACGCCATTTGACCCTGACCTTTCCTCTCTGCTGTGATTCTGTGTCAGACTGCACACAATCAATGTCTGTCCCCTTCTGCGTGATCACAAAAACAGTAGACGCTCCCTGACAGGGACTCCACTGGCAGCCCTGTCTTCTTGCATTTGGGCCACTAGATCATCCATTGGTGGTACTGGGACATCCCCCTCATTATCTCCTCCGCCCCACCATTGCCGTTTCTGAAAGCGATGCTAATAACATGAATTCCAACAGATTGACATGGGTGAAGAGCCAGGAGATGAAATCCATACTTCATGCATTTTGCATGTAGAGGTAATTAGAGGATTTGGAGGGTATTAAATGCTTCTGCCAAAGTATCCAAGTTCCTGATGAGATGGTAAAACAATCATTTTGAAGTTTATAGCATTAAAAATAGATGTTAAAAGAAAAAAGGGAGTAAATAAAGACTCATGCTAGTACTTTAAAGTGATTTTAAATGTTTTAGTTGACGTAGAACATAGATAGATAGATAAGGTCATGTTATGTAAAGCAGTGATTTGCGCCTTCAGTTTTAATGTAACCTTCAAACCTTGAGGTTTAATCCAACTGGTACAACCCATAAAACTGCCTGTGACGGTACCAAGGGCTATGTTCTGAAGCGTAGCCTTAATTATGCACACTTTCTTGCTGAATAAGTGTCTGATTTTCTAACTATCCTTGAGACCCATGTTTAAAGGTCTAAGAATGTGCCCTTGACAATCTTTCTCCCCTCTCATCTCCCAGGGCCCCTGACTCTAGCCATTAGGGAGATCGCCTGCCTTCCCTAAGCAATGACAGGTGAAATGGAGCACAAAATCCCAAAGCTCGCCAAAAGCCCTCTCCACAAACGCAGCACCTCTGATTCTTACATACACTTATCTTCACACGAAAACACAGACGAACCAGTGTTTGCAACACGCATACCTATTATCCTATAAAATAAACAAAACCAAATAAAAGGTGAATAAAAGACCGCACACTCGTGCTTTTCCTACATTTCTTAAAATTGTCATTAGGTGAAACTTAAATATAATATACTGTGTTTTATATTGTGTATAGTAGAACATATAATAGATTGTTACCCATATATAATGTCTGAGGTCAATGTGAACTTGCTAATTCAAGGGGGGGGGGGGGGGGTACATTCTCTATACCCAAAAACATTAAAATCAACCAACCAACAGATCAGAGTGACACTATTTAAATGCATCACAATTTCCTTGCCTTTCCTTCAATGACCTACGGTATAATGTCACACAACAAAATAATTTCACTATTATAAGGGGAGATGTGCATATGATGCTATTCTTTTAAATGCAAATAAAAAAAATACTTGAATATATTCTGTTACACCTTACAATACTTATCTCAAAATGAAATCAAAACACATGCATAATGCTTTGATTGAAAAACACATCACATGCAGGAATGATTACCCCTTCTTCCTGTTATTGAAGCCACTTCATAATTTGCATGACCAAATCACCCAAAAAACAAATTGCCTTCCTTTTCAGTCATACTTTGCAGTCGAGTGATAAACGAGTTACTAAATTACAGAAACATGGCAGATTGTAATTTTTTTGAATGTTTTTTTAACACGCATAACTGAAATGCTGGCAAGACTGTTTTGCACTGGTCTCTGATCTGATGTTTCTGCTGCTCTGCAAAAACAAGGATTGACAATCAATGACTGGATTATTACATTGTGTCAAAGGCTGAACCAGCGGGAGTTGCTAAACTGAGTAAGAATGTCAAAGGAGAAACACAGATACATTAAAAAAACCCGAAAGCAACAAAAAATAATCATAGTTGAAGAAAAAGACAAATTTAACAGACCTTTTCACAGCAAAAAAAATAAAAAATTGACTTGTCAAAGAAGAAAAGAACATGAATTGCTAATACCATTTAAAACGGTACTGTTCTGTTCTCAGACATGACACTGCGACAAGAAGCCAGCATCAAAAATTAGATTATTCACATGCTTTTCCTAATATAACATGTGTGATTGGTAATGTCTTACATAAAACTTAAATTAAACCAGGTCTCTCCAATTACCAGGACAGTGCTTCCTTTTTAAAGGCGAATCCCAGCTAAAGCTCCCTTTGTGTGAACCAGGAAAAGGGTTCGTGTCATCGCAGCATGACACCTGAGCTCGATAGGAAGAGCTGATCATGGATACTTTTATCATAATCCAATTAATGTGAGATGCTTCGCTGTGTGGAGCCAGTCTGTTCTCCTCAAGGCAGTGTTCGAATTAGAAACAAAGATCCAGTCCTGTGGCCAAAATACAATCAGTCTGAACTGTAGGACAGTAAAAGAAGTTTTCTGTGGCTCATGGCAAGATAGATTGCTAAATGAAAATTGAATATTCTATGTTGAATCAACATTTTTACGGAAGTTACAGCTTACGTAGTGAAATCAACATATGTAGTGCATCAACATTTAAGTGCCTGAGTGTATCACAGAATCCAAACATATGTAAACAGACCCAAAAATTCTAATTGATAATCAGTAACTTTTCACAACGGTTCTAATGAATGCTATTAATGGAGAAAAGTACAACTGTGGACCTCTCCTCAGGAGATCTTGAGCTGTAAAGTGCTCTTCCTTTAGAGTCACAAACACAACCGTAACTCCATTTTCACCTCAAAAGTATGAAAGCAAAGGGGCTGGTACTAATACAGTAAAGCCATTAAAAACAAACTCAAAGCCAAGAAAGACGATACGCAAGAACTGAAATGTTCTGGTATAACTGGACAGAGCCCTTCGATAAATTGGTGACCTGTACAGTGTGTACCCTTTGTCTTTAGCACTATGACAGCTCAAAGAGGCTACAACCAGGACCCTGAACTAGATGAGCGGAAGAAGGTGGATGGATGTATTTGCACTTAGTTCTCAGCACAAAACTGGAAGGCTATTATTACCTCTGTAATCAGCTAAAGAGAAGCCAATAGTGAAATCAGAAAGGTCAACTCCAACTGATCATGGCAGATGGCTACCCCTCGCTGCCTGGTTCTACTGGAACTTTCTTCCTGTTAAAAGGGAGTTTTTCCTTCCCACAGTCACCAGGTGCTTACTTAAAAAGAGGTCATCTGATTATTGGGGGTTTCTCTCTATTATTATAGGTTCTTTACCTTACAATATGAAGTGCTAAGAGGCAGTTGTTGCAGTGATTGAATGAACTGAATTGATTTGAATTGAATAGGACTTTATTCTGTCCTTTCTTTAAGGCTCATTTACATACTTATAAACTATTGGTAATATAAAATAGAGCATCGTCTTAAAAATAATCTCCAAAGTTACCCAAAGCCATCAGCGTAAAGCTTCAAAATAAAATGGAAGTTATTCCAGGAGGACAGAGCATTTTGATAACAAACTTTGGCCTACATTCACTGTTGTCCACCTGTTGATATTATTGGAAGAAATGTTTTTATGGCTTTAGAGAGCCTTGTACTGCTACAGCATCAAAGCGCTCTCCTCTGCTCAACCCTGCACACTCGTGTATCATTCACCTAGCAACAAGTATTGGCTGACACTGAACACGTGACTCTGACGCTAAAGAGGAAGTCGTTTACTCTAGCGTGCACATTTGTTTACAGCCACGAGTACTCTGTCCGTACCTCGGCAGGACTGTTCTGTGCGATTCAAGGGCTTTGCTGATCAGTATAATAGTCAAAATACTGTCCGAGCGCCACTGCAACTGCGCGCCTGTCATTTGTTTAGGAGCAGCAGAGACCTTTTAGCATGTCTCAGACATGCTAGCTGGCGACACACGAAGAAACCTTCCACGTTATACTGTGATGCCCCAGTGACCGCGTCATCATCGTACCTGTACATCGCCGCATTTGCATGCAGGTGGGATTCTCATGTCTCTGAGTGAGCCAACGTGTACTACCCGTTAGCTTTCTGGCAGACAAGCTAACATGGAGGTAACACAAGACACCGTGACCTCTCAGACAATGAACTGAGACGACAAGGTGTGTATGCAGCGTTTGCACTGTGTTTATTACGCAGTTATCAGTTTTTACAACCTGTGATTTGAATTGACTTCCTGCACCCATCTCCTCTCCTCAGGGATAATGAAACTGAATGACCAAAGACCCAGCAGTGCACTATGGCATTGACTGAAGTATACTGGGACCACCACATACCCCTGCCAAAGCTTGCTCCTGTTCAGGCCAAGGTCACCGTTGCCTTGGTGGCACTCCTGTGCTTCATTAACAGTTATGATGGAGACTTTGTATTTGATGATTCTGAAGCAATTGTTAACAACAAGGTGAGTTTTTCATTCATCAGCAGCTTGACTCCAGTTACACACTTACACTGGCAATAACCGTCACTCATTTTGTTTTTGTGGTTGCAGGATTTGCGCCCTGCAACACCTCTGAACAACATCTGGAGCAATGACTTCTGGGGAACCAACCTGAGTAGCAACTCTAGTCACAAATCCTACCGACCTCTCACTGTCCTTACATTCAGGTAAGGAGTCCTACTTAGTGTCTGAGTTTATACACACTTTATACATTCACAGCTAAACTAGTAATCAGATTCAAATCAGTTTAATCCACAACTCAGAATAAACAGGTCCACACTGATTTTTGTTTTGGTTGCGGAGGTGTGTCTCAAAACATCTGTACATGCTCCCTTTGTACATTGTAAATGTGTGCAGATGTGCACTCGTCTTCTTTACAAAAAGCCAAACTTGTTCTCTGTTGAGATTTTTTTTTAATACAACTTTTTGGACTTCTAAAATGATTAAAAAAGCACTACACAATAACAGGCACTACTGGACTTGAAATACCTATATGCACTCACTGGCCACTTTACTACCTTGTTAGCACTATTCTGGATCCCCTTTTTCCTTTAGAACTGCCTATATTCTTCATGGCACAGATTCAACAAGTTGCTGGTAAAATTCCTCAGAGATTCTGGTCCATATTGACATGATTGCATCACACAGTTGCTGCAGATTTGTCAGCTGCTTATCCATGATGTGAATTTCCCTTCCCACCTTGGACCAAGTGATCTGACTGTGGAGGCCTTTTGAGTACAGTTACCTCACTGTCATGTTGAAGAAACCGGTTTGCTGGAAGCAGCCATCACAAGATGGGTGGAGCTGACGGGAGTGGCACCTGGTGTGTGGTATTGCATCTAGTTTCTGCCGTGTGATTTGTTTTATTAGAAATTGCATTAATCAGCAGCTGAACAGTAACTAATAAAGTGGCCAGTGAGTGTATATTAAAGGATTTGAATAGGCATGTGACTAAATGTTAACACAGCTGTTGAGAAAGATAAAAGCATAGCACATTCATCATTTTTGCATTTTGCATTGATTCAATAATCTGTTCTATCAATCTAATCATTAGACCACATCGCATGTGCACAGTTGACCTGAAACCTTCAATCCAAAAGAGTTCAGTCAGAATTTAAAAAATATGTGCTTGTAATTTCAGCCACACACATTAGAGCATCATTCTTCGAATACTTACTCCTCTGTTAATTGCCAAAACCTCTACACGGTTCCTGTCAGTAGTTTAACTACAGTAAGGACTTGACTGAAAAAGCATAACATCATACTGTTTCTGTAGGTTACTTCTTCCTGCAGGAACTTGCACAATATTTTAGGTCAATCAGCACCTGTGTGCATGTTCTGACAGCAGGAAATCTCTCTATAGTTTCTCTTTCAAAGATGTTTTCAGGGTGGAGGAAAGGTACTTGATCCCCTAAAAACTGCAGGGAAGAACTCGACAGCAAACACAACCACTGGAGTCTGGTGGATAACGACAGACTCGAGTAACAGTCTTCTCCAGTCAAACGTTACCAACAGCTGCTTAAAATTATCCACAGGGAAACACCAGAGACGGCATCACCACTGCTATATCAGTCTGATGTTAATATATTCATCACTTGCAGTTTGAAGCTGTTGCAAATTGATTACATCACCTTGTTGAGGCTAGTTAACCTGCAGTGGAAACGGAAAGGATGATTAGGGGCCATTGCTGTAAACGTTTGTGCCATTTAGGAGTTCTGTTGTGTTTCTACAGTGGGAAGGTGCCTTTCCTCTATTCTCTGCATATAACTGTGCAGTTGATGGTGGTTATTGATGACCCTCACCATGTCCCATTGGCTTCATCGTGTCACATTATGCTTTATAATAGCTTCACCATCCTCACACATATACTTTCCTACACCTGCTGTACATTCAGCTCTAGTTTTTCTCTTGTCTCGCTGTTGCAGGCTGAACTACCTCGTAGCGGGAGGCCTTCACCCCGTTGGCTTCCATGTGCTCAACATCATCCTCCATGCTGTCATATCCGCCCTTATGATTGACGTGTTTGCAGTACTTATTGGTGGACTGGCCTACGATGAGAAGGGCAGGATACTGAACCACGCTCCGAAGACCTCTTTGCTTGCTGCCATCTTCTTTGCCGCACACCCAGTTCACACAGAAAGTGTAAGTAGAGTTGAAGTGTTTATTTATATGCATAATATTATAAGTAAAGAGACAATCAAATAGTTCAGTATGCATTAAAATCATCATACACATGAGTGTGTAAAGATTCATATGTATGATTATTGTGTAGTTTGGACTTATTAGTAGTCTCAAAACTGAAAATACAGTTTTGCATTAAAACGCAAACAGTAAAGCTTAAAGAAAAACAATTATAGATATATAGATAGGTACTTTATTGATTTCACAACCGGAATTCATGTGTTACAACAGCAAGGTGATGAAAAAAAAACTAGAGTCTAAATAAACATAATTAAAGTGGTACACAGCCATGATGAGCACCTTATTTAGTGAAATAAAA